TCAGTCTCCAATCTTCTGAAGCATAACGAACAAGTTCTTACATGGTGAACGAATTCTTACATAGTGAATAAATTCTTACATGGTGAACAGTACAAGGGCATTCATCACAGAAACTTTCGGTTTTGATCACGCATTATGACTTACAAACAATCAGGTCAAATATGAATATTCGTTTGATTTTTGTACTTGATTTATATGTTGATCCCACATTTCTCCCTTTATTATTATTATTAATAAAATCTTATCTTTTAAACCATAAGGAAAACATAGGTAAAACTCCATTATGGTAAAACGTTGGTTACTTAGAAGACCAACTTTCTAAACTCCTTTGGAACAGAAAGGCTAGCTCTTTTGGGGGGCTGGTGGAACATGGGAAATGGGATAAGGAAGGCTTGGATAAGAGGAAGAAAGGACCGAGGACAGTGATAGTGGAGAGCATCACCACTAGCCTGAGGCTGACTTGCAGCCTTGTCTTCTTCAGGCTTGACCCCTGACAAGGGAAAATTATGCCAAACAGCAGCCAGATTCTTTATAGATCCTTTCCTACCCACCAAATAGACATTGTCCTTGAATTCTTCAGCCTTCCCTAACACCATCATAACAACCACACCCCCACCAGAAAATCCTGTTCTGTTCAAATCAAATTACGTGGAATTTGGGACACAAATATATAACAACAAAGATTAAGAAACTAGGAGGAAAAAAGAAGCAGGCCAGAATAAATAATACCTTCCTTCTTTCCTATGTGGAATTAAAGCAGTTCTTTCTTGTTCTTTGTTGACAGTCTAAGAGTTAATCTGTTTCATCCCAAATCTTGCTCTTTATCTGCTCGGTCGTTTTCTCAGTCTCACAGGCTTTACGGGAAAACACATATCCCTTCCTGGCCATGATTATGCTGAAGGATCGGCGGATGACTGTGGTGGGACGGCTAGAAGGCCTCATTCAACCTGATGACCTCATTAATCAGCTGACATTTATAATGGATGCAAATCAGACTTACCTGGTGTCAGAACGTCTAGAAAGGTACAGGGGAGCTCCTCTCTGGAACTGAGAGACCAGCTAAAGATTTGGGTGGCTGACCCAGTGCTCCACAAATCCTGACCTTTTGTCTTAAGCAACTTTAAAAACCTTGTCCATTTAGTGTTAAAATATTTAGCACTTTGACCTAAGTAATTCTCCATTAGATTATTTGTTCTTGGGAACATGAACCAAAATGAAGACAGGGCTCTGTGCTCAAGAATATATATACCTGAAACAACAACAAAAAAGAGTATATATCTGGTCAGTTAGAATAGCTGAACCATGATATGAAGAACTTGAATGTAAAAAATGAAGATGGGTTATAATTCTTTCCCCTATTACAAAAATAGTGTACATTAATTGTAGAAAATCTGGAAAACACAGAAAAGCACAAAAACATACTTAAAATCATCCTTAATCCTACCACTCTTAACATACTGTTATATTTTCTTTTAATTTTATGGACACACACACACAATCCTCCTATACACAAACACAGTTTTTGGAAGAGAAAATAGGAAATACACCAAAATGTTACAGTGTTTCTCTTTAGTTACCTCTGAGTAAGGTGTTTCTTCATTTTTCAAATCTTCAAAGATGTGTATATGTGGTTTTTTGGCTTTTTGAAAGCAACATATACAAAAATGCAGTAAGCCAAAGGGTATATTGATTTGTAAAATATGATCTCGTTGATTGTTCTATAACAATACTATGTACTTGTGTTAGAATTGGGGGGAAAGATAGTTTTATTTGAAAAAAGTTGAAAGGGGAAGGAGGAGCTTGCCATTTCTCTTTCTGCCTAGTCAACCTAGGGAGAGAGATGGCTTATTCAGATTCAGCCGTGCTTTGCTTTGGAACCCCTAGCGGAGAGTGAGGAGAGTCATCTGCCAAGATTGTCTACCTGTCTACCCTCCCCGCAAAATTCCAGTATAAGAAGACACAGAGTTTTCTGAGATTGCTCTTCTCCTTCTGTGTGATCTGTCTGCAGGGAAGAGCGAAACCAGACGCAGGTGCTGAGACAGCAGCAGGATGAGGCCTACCTGGCCTCTCTCAGGGCTGACCAGGAGAAAGAGAGGAGGAAGCGGGAGGAGCGGGAGCGGAAGCGACGGAAGGAGGAGGAGGTGCAGCAGCGAAAGCTGGCAGAGGAGAGACGGCGGCAGGTAATGAACTGTCTTTACTCCTGATGCCCACAGTTTCTTCTCCCTGTGAAAGGAAAAACTAGAAGATAATGGAATGGTGGGTGTTTTAAATCCTCCTTGTCATTTTTATATTAGTGTGTTTTCACAAGAAGTAGTCAAAGAATTTTTTTTTAATTTTATTAAAATAAATAGAACAGTGAGTAAAAGTCAGGCAAAGCAAGTGTTTGATTAATAGTAAGTGTAAGTAGATAACAAGTAGTCCATACTGCTGTTACAGCAGTAGTTTTTAAATATTCATTCTTAGTACCAGTGTTAGCTTATTTGCCATTTCATTCACGATCTTATTTCATTATGTGTTACCACTTGATTATACCCAGTGTTTTCAGTAATTCCTTTTTGTTTGGACAGTTAAATGCCCTAATACAATCAATAAATAATACACATGCTGCAATAGTACTTTGAATTAGGGTGTTTATGACTCCTGCCAAGAAGTGTTCCTTATGATATTAGTCACTAATTTTTCTTCTGGCTGCATAGTAAACCTACATGATGATAGTATTTCTTGTTTTCCTATTGGAGCCGTAGCCTCACTTTTGCTTTTGTCTCTCTGTAGAATTTACAGGAGGAAAAGGAAAGGAAGTCGGAGTGCCTGCCCCCAGAGCCTTCCCCTGATGATCCTGAAAGTGTCAAGATCGTTTTCAAATTACCCAATGATTCTCGAGTAGAGAGACGATTCCACTTTTCACAGTCTTTAACAGTAAGGACCACCTAAGTTGTGTGCAGTGTATAGATCTGGAAGCTTTTAAGGACTCTTGAGAGTGTGCTTGGTTTATATGCTGCTCTGATGAACAGGGAAGGGAGTGGGGCAGAAAGAGAATAGTGCAGTGAACTATGTTCCTTAGTCCTAGCTTTTAACTCAGAGCAGTTATTAAGGTTTTCTATCATCATGTTTGAGCTCTGCTAAGAAAGAAAGGTACCGTAATTACCAAGAAGTCCCAGGAAGGACTTGCAGTGTTTGGAGTGGGAGGCTGGTCCATGGTGCTCAGTTTGGGCTGGCTTCAGAATCCCATAGAACCCCTTGCTCTGTGAAGAAAGCTCTGTGCTGATGTAGAAGTATCAGAATTACACATCTGAGTGTAAGTGCATGGGCAGTTTGCATGCAGTTGTTATTCTCCCTTTCCACCTATTTAGCCCGTAAGAAACCCCTCTTTTTGGCGCTACCTGGTATATTCAACATCTATAGGTAAGTAGTGTTGTCATTCCATGGGAAATAGTTATAGGCAGAGACTCTTAGAGTTATCACAGAATGAGGATCAAATTTTCATTCTTCCAGAGTTAATAGATGTGTTCTTGGTCACTGTACTTAATTAACTCTCTGTTTCTCCATCTTTAAAATGGGTATAATAAAAGGCACTCTCTCATAGGATTGTTATTCAGGTTAAGTTCATATGCAAATTGTTCAACATTGTGTTTAGCTCATAGAAAGCACTTAAATGCTATTGTTTTTGATACTTACAACCAAAAGAAAGTTTCTGTTTATACTGAGAGTTGATATGCTGCCTTTCCAAATTTACAACTACATGCACACCTCAAAAATATTGCTAGTTTGATTCTAGACCAACGCAATAAAGTGAATAATGCAGTGAGTCAAACGAATTGTTTGATTCCCCCTAAAATTATGTTTACACTGTACTATAGTCTATTGAAAGTGTACAGTAGCATTGTCTTAAAAAAACAATGTACATACCTTAATCTTAAAATACTTTATTGCTAAAAAATGCTAATCATCATCTGAACTTCCAGCTAGTCGTAATCACTGATCACCATAAGAAATACAATAAGGAAAAAGTTTGAAATATTGTGAGAATTACCAAAATGTAACCCAGACACAAAGTGAGCAAATGGTGTTGGAAAAATGGCACTGATAGTTTTGCTTAATGCAGAGTTGCCACAAACCTTCAATTTGTAAAAAGTACAGTATCTGCAAAGTGCAGTGAAGTGAGGTATGCGTGTATAGTAGATTCTGCCATTTCCCTGATCATTTCAAAGCAGTCGAGAGTTAACTGCATAATATAAGTGAAGATGCACTGTAGTCAGTTTGAGGCTGAGTAGCACATTCATTACTTCTCCTTGTTTACCTGGAGAACATTGGACAAGTTACACAATCTTTTACAGAGCCTCATATGATCCCTTCTGTAAAGTGTTCTAATATATTTCTGTAAAACAGAAATATAATCTGCCCTCTGATGACTTCAAATTGATGACATTTCAGGCACTGTCCGAGGCACTCTAGGGCTTATACACATGATGAGAAATGTGGTTCTGGAATTCATGGAGCTTACTGGCCAGTAGGGAATACAAGTCTAAGAGCTAATACAGAGTAATAGGGCAAGGGGCATCCTGGTGAAAGAGAAGCAAAGTAATACTTCATTTCATTTATTTATCATTATGCATTGATTTATATTGGGGGAAGGTGCTCACATTTCTAATTTTGGATTGTTAAATTGGGATGACAGGAATGAGCCTCACAAATACCCATGTAGTAGTAAGTAGGTAATTATTGTTCATTCCCTTCCCCTTGTATGTTTCCAAACTGTTGATGTGAATATGGATTTTAGCTTGCAGCCTTGTTCAATAACAATTTCACTGTAGTATGCCTGAATTTTATGGAGCTTCTCCTCCCCAAACTCTCATTATGTATGTGAAAAACAACCAAAATTTACTATCCTGACAATTTTGAAGGAAAGTATATTAGAACAGTAGAACAGAATAGGCCTGTGCCCAAGGGGAACCATCCCATTGTTAACCATTTAATCCTTAGAGGCTTTAATAGGTCCTCACTAAAAGTTTTTTACAAAACAAACCTTAAACTGAGAGAAATCCTTGGTCATAAATGGGGATGAGAATTAGAGATGGGAAAGAAGTGTAAAGAAGTGTGATGGCATTGCTTATCTTCAGTATAATATTCGTAGAGTTAATAACATAAAACTACATAATAAAATATAGTTTTTAATGCTCTTGCAGACTTTGTCATATTCCTGTGCCCTTCATGAATAACCTCAAAGAGTGAGTGTTCAGTGAAGTATTCGATTTGCACATGATGCTCAGCTCTTGAAAGTAAAATTCTAAGATAAATAAGGGTAACCTGTAGGAAAAACTCCAGGTCCTGTGAGTGGTAGCTGACTTAACGTAAATGAATGCATATTAGAATCCAAATCATGCTCAGCCCAGAACTCATTTTTCTATCCATTATGACCAAAAGGGACCTCAGGAGGTGATGTCATGGTATCGGTCCATTGTCAGGGGTGAAGAAAAAAAATTGCTAGTTTTGTACCAGTGTTGAGTGTTTTCAAGCAATAATTGAAAAGGAAACAAAATTTTTTATTATGTTATTTCACCCTTATATAAAACCCACTTTGGGTTCATACCAGCAATACTTGGTGCAAATATAATTGATGCATATGAAGAAAAGAAGGAGAATGGATGTTAGTGGAAATTTCCAAGAGGGCAGGGAACTAAATGAATGAGGTTAATAGACTAAAATATGAGAAGTTTATAAAATTATGAATCAATTTAGATAAAAAGAACATGGATTTACTCCTCAAATTCTTGAGTTGTAGCCCCTTAAAAGCTCTAAAGAGGTAAGTTAAAGACAAGTGAAGAAAAGACTTTTTCACATAGAGGTGAATAAACTTACAAGAGGTGAAACAAAAAGAATATAGAAATAAATTCCATCAAAGAAGTAAGAATAACTTGGATGGTGTGTCCCTAATCTTTGGGAATGACCTGGAAGAGGTTAGGAGTGCTCTTCACAACATATCCCTTAGACTCTTTGTCAGAAGTAGAAGGCTAGGTGAAGAGGGCTATAAAGCAGATCCAGTATGCCTGTTCTTAATATATGGCATTAAGAGACAGGGAGAGATAAGGTTGAATTATTCCACAGGTATCTTATATTTTAAATTTTAGCAATGTGAGTTGTCATGATTTTGCCTTCTTGTTAGAACTAACCTGTACCTTCTCAAAGCCAGAGAAGGATGAGGAGGGCATTTGTACAGAAGAGAGGTCCACACAGAAGGGGTCAGATCTTGATTAAGTTTTGGGGGACATCCACATGTTGGGGCTGCCAGTGCAGAAGTCAGAGCCCAAAATGCCTGGGGCAAGGTGGGTGTTAAAGTCAGAAGTGGATGAAAAAAGGAGGGTAGAGTCCGGGGGAGAATGAACTCATGGTTTTCAGTGTACTGCATGTGTAGAAATATAGCTGTAGGTGTATATATGTATGTGCACATACTCTGTAGTTCTCACAGAGTGCTTGGGAGCAGCACCCCAACAGCAGTGAACATACCTAGCACCCAGATTATAGCTTTTAAAAACCACTGTCCATTAAGAAGAACCAGAACTCCTTGGAGAAATGGCTGCTTCCAAAGCTGGGACAGGGAAAATGCAAGAGCAGTCTGGAACACTGTATGCCAGAAAGCAAGGAATTATTCAAAGAGCCATGGGGACATGTTACAAAGACACAGAAGCTAGTGTGAATGGGTTCCTTCTGACTCCATCTGGAACAGTTTAAACATTACAGTATGTAATAATTCTAACATTATAACCTACTGAATAAAATAGGAAAGCTTGACTCATTTAATATAGGTAAACAAATTAAAAGTTTGGTAACAGAATGTCTCCATAGTTTCAAAGGACTTCCCCACAGAATACTCTTTAATCACAAAGGGGAAAAGAATAACAGAGTGGAGAGGCCTTGGCAGTCACCCTTAGGTGATCAAAGTGAACAATATCAGTCATGGAACAAACTGAAATTGTGCTCCTGCTGAATATGATTTGATGCATGGCGTAGAATGTAGCATCATTTCTATAATACTCTTGTCAAAGATGCAAAACTGAAATCTAATTGTCAGTAAGCATCAGACAGACAAATTGAGGAACATTCTACAAAATAACTCAGCTTTAGAAGTGTTGAGGTCATGAAAGTCAAGGAAAGACAGGATTTGCTGCAGACTAAAGGAAGAGACTTAGGAGATGGGACTAAATGTAACACACATTTCTAAACTGGGTCCTTTTACTCTAAAGGGCAACTGGCAGAACTCGAATGGGGCCTGAATAAAAATTTCATATATGTTATTGTAGTAATAATGTATTAGTTAAGTTTCCTGATTTTGAGGGCTGTATATGGTTGTGTAGGAGACTAGTGTTTGTAAGACATACCAGTTCTCAAGGGTAATGTGACATCAGGTTGGCACCTCACTGTCAGCTGGCTCAAAGAAAAAAATATTGTGTCTTCTACTTCCAGCTTTTCTGTTAACTCTTTGATTATTTCTAAGTTAAAGAAAAATTAGCTTTATATCAAATGGTTGTCAAAGAAGAAACAGATGAATCAATTCAGAGTAGGACTAGCATTGATAAATCTCTTAAAACAGTCGCCCTACCTATTGCTCTGTGAAATGAAAGGACCTCAAAATTGAATTCCAGTGTAGTGTGGTTACTTCCTATCTCAGAGGCATCCTTGGGGAACCGGTGGGATACTTGATTTTGTAGCTATGTGTGTGCCTGTCTGTCTTTTTCTCACTGCCCTTCTCCTCTTATATGACCTTGGCAGGTAATCCACGACTTCTTATTCTCCTTGAAAGAAAGCCCTGAAAAGTTTCAGATTGAAGCCAACTTTCCCCGGCGGGTGCTGCCCTGCATCCCTTCCGAGGAGTGGCCCAACCCCCCAACGCTGCAGGAGGCCGGACTCAGCCACACAGAAGTTCTCTTTGTTCAGGACCTAACAGACGAATGACACTTTTTCTTCCTCTCCCTTCCGACTCCAATCCCTAAAAGAAATGGAAAAAAACAAAAACAAAAAAGAGAAATTCATATTATTATTATTATAATACAATATTTTTTTTAAAAGACTGCTGCATCCTAAGGAAGGATCAGAAACCATGCTGCCTGCAAGAGTCACCACCCGAGTGTGTGCCCGAGGTTGGTAACGAGCGCCCCCGCCAGCGAGGGAGTCCTTCCCCACTGCCCATGCACCACGCACCTTCCAACCAAAGGAGACGCCTCACCTCCAACCCAGCCACTGTCCCAACTGGGGAAGGAGACATTCCCACTAGTTCTCATTTCTTCTTGCTTTTATAGAAAATAAAAGTGAAAAAAACCTTCATCAGTGAACTACTGCAGCATCTCGTGAGGACTTCTCCCACCGTCAGAGAGAAGAGGGAAGAGAAGGCACAGAGCAAAGATGTTCTCTGCACTTCCCACAATTTATGGATAACTTTTAATTTTGTTTGTTGCTTTGTAATGACCAAAGGAATGAAGCTGACAAAGGTGTATATTTTTTCCTTAACTTCATTTGGTAAAAAGCCAATTCTTAAACCCATCAGTTCATGCCCTGGGCTTCTTAGCCCACAAGAGTATAATAAAGGTGCCCTGGGCTGGTCTGTGCTTATTTCTGCCATTGTCCCTCTCACATTCCCAGAGAGGTCGTTCTTTTTGGTCCAATTCTCGCTGTCCTTTCTGGCTCCCTATGCACTCCACTTGGAGCAGTGGGAGGGCATCTGGGTATATAGCCCCACAGTGTCTGTGTATTACAGATACACCCATAAATGCAGTATGAACTCCATGTATACTCACCTATACACATAATTGCAGCTTTTCCTGGGAATCTGTACCAGGTGGTTATGGGGTGTGAACCAAAGGGTAGCTCTTCGTTACTCTTCTGACATGTGCATGCTGTTACGCTGTTCCTGCCCAGCCCTAAGCTTTCCTAAATTGCCAAGCTTGGTGCCTTTCCAGAGGACTGGCAGGCCTGTGGTGGAACCAGCAGAACCACGGAGTGCCCTGCATCTGGAGTGTGGTGGCGGCTTAAGGATGGAGAGGCCTTGAAGGGAGCCAAGACAACTGAGCCTGTGTACACTGTCAGGAGGCATATTTCCGTTTCTGATGTAGCCACCTACTGGAGGCAGTTTTTATTCTCTCCCTCTATTGCTATGTTGAAGTAATAGGGTTTTTTAACCTCTGGATGTCTCGTCTGGTTCAGTTAATGGTAATGGGTATGTGGGTCAGGCCATGTATGAAACAATGCCAGCGTGAGCTGACAAGTATTCCAAAGTGTTCCATAGCTAGACTGGTGCAGACTCGTGGTAACACTGCAATCTTCTGAAGTTATTGTAGTTCCTAGCATGCTGTGAGGCCAGGGTGTGCGTATCAAGATAAAACATAATTTGCTAGATTTGCAGTCTCCAAAGGCTTTCTCTCTTGCTTAACTAACACCTTAGGGCCACTCTTTCAGGTAGCAGTAATGTGGCTCCTGTTCTCTGCAGCCCTCAGTGGTTGGGGTAAACACAAAGGGACAGGGCGAGGAGCCTCAGAGGCAGCATCTGGGGGGCCTGAGAATTGCCCAGTAGTCTTAGCACCAGTGTCTAGAACACCATCTTTAGGAAAACTTACGTATTCTCCCGGCTGCCTATTCTAATTTGTTTCCTGCTGTCGCAAGGCCAGATGAGTGGGAAATCGCTCACTGTTGTCCTAAAATGTATCTCAAGTGAATACCAGGATAAAACAAGTTCTCCGCTCAACCTTCTGCAAAGTGTGCTTCCTGCTGACAACCATGCCAAGAGGAGTTTTCCCACTTAACTCAGGGCCTCCCTCCCTGTCAGGAATTCACAGCTGTTTTCCTGGCAGTTCCCAGGAGGGTATTAATGGCCTACCCTAGACTGGGTGTACTAAGTATCTTGTCCACACCTCTTTGGAAAATTGTCAGTTTTTTCCCTTAATAATTAAGTCTTCATCTTTTTCTACAGTGTTCCCTTCATGCCTCTTCCTTTTGATATCTTATTCTGTGAAACAGGTCAGATACTAGAATATTAAGAAAGTCTTTGTCAGCTCTTGGGACAGTAAGCCTACCAGTTTACTTCACCTGAAGCATATGCTTCTTCCTAGTCCACGTTAAAACTGCCCTGGGTTACTCAGACCACGTTCCTGTCTCCTTGCTGACTCTAGAGCTGCTGCGTAGCTACCATCTTCTTTTCTCCATGAAAAATGCATATTTTGTCACTTAATGCCTGTACAATCTGTATGTCACTCCCAAGGACCTCTGGGAACTCACTGGGACCTGCAAGGGAGAAAATATTAGAAAATGCAATCTTGCAAGCATTTGCTCTTGTTTCCACACCATCTTTGGGTAATTGCAGCTGTTGTTTCCAAATGGCAAATCATCAGCTAAACAAAAGCACTTGTTTCAAGTTGGGTTCTGCACCCCCAAAGCTGAAGTTGTAGATTCGTCTGAATAACCATGGGAAATGACCAAGCAAAGACACCCGGGTGGAATCAGTTGAATTTCTGCAGCCTCAGTGGGGCCCTTCTGGTCTTTCTTCCACTTCTGCAGAATTTCCTGCAGCAAATATTTCTCTCTGCTTGCCTCCACTCTGATGTTTGGGTAAGAGATGGTGACCAGAGGAGAGTATTTGTCTCTGAAAGCTAGACAAACTAAGAAGAACCCAGAATCTTCAACTGAGCAGTCATGAAAATTGCTCATGGTGCCAAGGCCAAGGAAAGAGTTTCAGAAAATGACTACGGGGAGGAGTGATAACCCCAGAATGCAAAATCAGGGGGTATTATTTGGTGCTTGAACAAGGAGCTCCACTTTACACCTGGTTTTTATAGGACTTGTGAGGAACGCAGCAACAGGAAATCCATCCACAAGGATGCAGTGTCCCAACTTGTACTGCACCTGAATAGTTTCGTGATAATTTACTGAAGAAATCTAGTGTACCTAAAATTTTTTTCATAAAAGTTTACATTGTATTGTAGGTTAACAATTAAATGTTTTATAACAAAAATTTCCTAACAAGTTGTGGATCTGTCTGTGTAGGGGATGTGGTAGATATTTTCTGTGTGTGAAAGGTTAGAAAACATTGGGGGTGGTAACAGTATTGCATTGCCAAGAAGCAAGGGAGAATCAAAGAGAAAAGCAAGGAATTAAATACATGTTCTATAGTGTATTCCTGTGAAAAATGGCAACTTAGTAAGTGTGATGTTAGAGCAGTCAGGTCTGGGTTCAAATTTGGACTCTGTCATTTTTCAGCTCTGTGACCTCAGACAAGTTCTTCAGTTTCCCTGAGCTTTAGTTTCCCCGACTATGAATGAAGTTAATGCCATCTGCCTCAGGATAGGTTTGTAGATAAATAAATGGATATAAAGCACCTGGCACAGGTGTCACTGTTTGTTCCCTTTCTCCATGGGAATGTATTTTGAAGAACACTTCTTGAATAGTACCTTGTTAGTTTCTCAAAGAATGTCATGTCTCCTGCTAGAACAGACCCGTGTCTTTGCAAATGAGTGCCTAAGAGAAGATTCACCTTTGATCTAAGAGTCTTGACTACCGAAACTCCCCTCCTAGGGTGTTTTCACTCGTATTTCCAGTTCTGAGGAAATTTAAGCCTTGGTTCTTTGCCTTTACCTTTTCCACTGTCTGTCCTTGTGCAAAAGAATTCATTCCTGTGTGCTGTGGATTCTTGTCACCCTCAGAGTCTGCCAGTTGCTTACCGAAATTTGTGGGGCCTTTGTTTTTTTTTTAATGTACATGTTAAGTGTAAAGTGTCTTCTCAATCTAGAAAGTCTGCAAGCAGAGATTATTCACATTAGGTCAGAATCCACAAAAAACACAAAAGTGATTGTGTTTAAAATTTTTGCCATCAATTAACAAAATCAAGGCTTAAGATTCAAACTGTGATGCCAGATACACCTGGTTCTAAATCCTAGCTGTGGCCAAAACTCTGGCCAAGTGACTCAACTTTCTACAAAAATGGGGCCAATTGTAGCATTGCTGTGGGACTGGAATAAACTGCTGTGCAGAGTGCCTGGTGCACAAAAGGTAGCAAACAGCACCTATTGTTGCCAAAACATTCTGTAGCCTGCCCACTGCTAACAGGTCACCCTACATGTGGACCAAGGGAGGAAAGAAGAGGGAGAGGCTAAGCTGAGGCTTTGCTATTGGGCAGGTAGAGCCTGACACTTTTACAGTTGGAACGCCATGTACTTTTACCCTGATGGAGCCAGGAGCCCCCAGAGTCCCTCCCTCATGCCTTTGAGCTCAGCTCTCAGTGTGGATCCTCTCCCACCTCCTAGCCCTATGTCCCCTCTCCTGGCCTCCCCTTTTGCTAACTTGGAATGATGCTAAAACTCCTAGGTTTTTTCCCCTTAAACTTAAACCTGGTTTTCGCTTGACACCACTTCAAGAAACCCTTTATTCAGACACCTCTCACTTTCTCTTGAATTTTGGCACCCGGAAATAAGATCTGTATTTCTTCTGCCACTTTGATGCGCTGTCCTCCAGTACTGCTCCTGGTACACATGCTATCTGCTTGGACTACTTTATCCTGTTCTGATTGCTACTGGTTATTCCCCAGATATTGACAACTGATACTTCACTCTTCTACCAACAACCTAGATGATTCATATCTACATACGTAGATTCCCTAAAATTATCGTCTGCTTCTGATTTGACTTGTGTGCCCACTAAGTGTAATGGAGAGAGGCTTTGAGTCAAACCTGGATTTGAAGTTGCTTGCTGACTGATCTAGGGCAAGGATTCTCATCTATATATAAACATCATAGCAGTGAAGCCTTGTAAGGTTCAGGCCCTGCTTAAATGAGCTGGTAACTGGAGTAGAGGCCTGGTGTTGGGTAGATGGATGCTTAGTAAATGTTCAGTTTGTTCACTTCTGCGCCCTCCCAGCAATATCATGCTTTGGATGTGACCTTTTCAGGCTTTCAGCCTGCTTCACCCAGGACCTCAGAACCAGTCCCTCTCTGGCCACAGCCTTTATTGCCCCAACTCCTGTATCCCTACTCTGCCCTCAAGGCCTTTCTGTCCCTCTACTCAACTTAGTTCTCCCTACTAGAATTCTCTTGACTTCACATCCCTCTCTACTACAGCCAGTACTGTCACAATCCTGAAGTAAACTGAACCGTTTGATTTGTTCATTAAGCGGCAGAATCCTAACGTATATCACAGTGAACTGAGGAGCCCTGGGGGTCGGTGCCCACTCTTATGATCAAACTTTTAGGAAACTCCCCATGCATTTCCACTGCCCCACTGTGTCCTCTTTTTCAAACCCACGCTCACCTGCATCCTCACTCCACGCCCGTTACTATGAGAGCCTCCTTCCTGAGAAAACAGGTCTGTCACAGAATGATTTCCTTTTTCACCTCGGAACTGCTCTGTGATGTCACCTGCTTCCTCTTTCCAGTCTGTCATGTGTGTATTTCCTTTTAAATGTGATAACAGCTTATATCCAAGAAAATGCCCAAATAGTAAATGGACAGCTTGATAAAATTTTACCTAGTGTACAGCAAACCAAGATGCGGAGTACCACATCACCCCGGGAAGCTCCCTGTGCGGCTTCCGGTCAATAGCCTGGGGGAGAGAGCCATTATGGCTTCTTCTAACATGAAAGAAGTTTTGCCTGTTCTTAAACTGCACATAAATGGACTCACTGTGTGTGTATATGACTTTATAAATGATTTTCTTGATTCAAGTGCCCCTACTCAAGATAGGACAATTTAGGAAATGCAAAGAAAGAAAAAAAGAAAAATTCATATATCACACTGTCCAGAGATGTTCAGTGTTAATATTCGATGTATATCTTCCCAGACTTTTCAGTGCATATAGAGACACTTTTTCTACAGAAGTGGGATGGTATTGTACATACTGTGTGAAAATAATGACAGTTTCACACATTTTCTTCTCTTTTAATGATTATGCAGTATTTCACTGAATGGATGTACCATAAATTGATCAAAACCCTCTTGTGACATTTTAGGTTGTTAGAGTTTTTTGCTTTTCTAACTGGCAGATTGATAAATATTGAAGTTACCAAGTCAAAAAAGAATAGAAATATTTGCGTTTTAAATGGTTATCTCCAACTTGTAGTCCAGAAAAGCTACTCATACTTCTACCAGCAGTGTATACTCAGTCTCCTACCCATGTCATTGCCAGAACATTTACCAACAACTATCCCCTTTTCATTCACTTTCACCTCTTTAATCTAAAAATATTTGGCATCTCCTCCCTTGCAAAACCGTAATCTTACCTTACCCACATAATCACTGCCCTGTCTCCTTCCTTGTCAAGGTAGTTTGCACAACCAGCCTCTGCTTCCTTCTTGACCTCCTGCTAATTGAACTTTCATCCCCACTGCCCATTTCTTATGGTCACCTGTGACCTCTTAATTACCATTTTCATCGGCCTCTTACAAGATCTTTGAATGTAAGTTTCCCAGCCAGTACCTGATACACAGTAGATGTCTCCTTGTTTCCATTCCCACAGGTTGGAGGGTCAGATTATGTGAACTAGGCTAAGGAATTCACACTTTATCCTGAGGTCCACTGAAGGGCTTTAAGCAAAGGTGACACATCAGATTTCGGTTTTAGAAAGCTGATTCTGTCACTAGGGAGACTGAATGGGAGGGGGCCGGGCTAAGGTGATGCGATGGCATCTTGGATTAGGAGTGGCATGGGGATGGAGAGAAGTTAATGATGGGAGAGAGGCGCAATGACCAAGACTTGGAGGCTGATTAGATACGGAAGTTGGAGGAAAGTGGGAAATTGAGGAGGATGCCCAGGTTTCTGACAAATGCGTTTATGAACAAAAACAGTCACTTGTGACCTTCACAGGAGCTGTTTCAGTGGAGTATAGCATCAGGATTCAGAAGTGATGAATGGGAGGTGAAGTGGAAAGACTGAATATAGGCAGCTGTCATGAACTCTGTTGGTGAAAGTTATTAGAGGAAATAAAGACAGGCCAGGGAGGAGCCAGGATTGAGTAAGGGTTATTTGCTCTAAGGTAGGAGAGGCTTCATTATGTATAAATGCTAAAAGCAATTAAGTTTTTCAGAAAAGGGTTGAACAAGGATAACAGAAAGATGTCATGGGGGTAGGGAGAAGAGGCTGGCCTTAAGAGGAAGGATGGGAGCAGAAGTCAGTGTATTTGTTAAGTTCAAAGGCAGAAGTTGAGGGCATTCACATGTGGTGATGTCTGTTTTTGTCTGTCAGGTTAGGGGAAGTGATTGGGTCAGAGGTCTAAGACTGAAAGATTTCAAATAGCTGAGAGAGCAGGAGAGCACAGGAAGACTTAGGTGGCTTTCTGGGCAGACTGAGGGCATGGGTGAGATTGAGACCAGAATGCATGGTAGGAGTAGGCATGAGAAGTCAGGCACTGTCACCAGTCTATCTTCCTCACTGCTGCCAATTTCTGAAAACCGGTCCCATGCGTGCATTTGGAAGCAACCAGTGACTGCTTTGTCCAAGGTGAAGTCCAGCTCCCCAGCCTGTCAGGGACTTGAGCTCCGGGGTCCTTACAGAATTTCATAGCTTTGTTTGTCTAGTCCTCCACATGGTCACACCTAACCACACAGATCTCTTGATTGTTCCCTAGACACACCATGCACTTCCCTGCTGAAAGTTAGGCTGAGACAACTGATATTCAAGAGAAATAGTTTAAAAGATACGCTGTTAATTTCTCAAACTCCCCTGATTGCCAGCAAGGCAAGTGCATAGACCATGCAATTCTGGTCTTTCAGAAGCACATTTCTGAGACTCTGGTTTAACTCTGGTTTTATTTAAAACAGGTACTGGCCAAGGAGACTAGGTGTAAATCATAATTGGCATGGTATACCAATTTAGACAGAAACTACACCCCCCTGGAGGCTCCCACATAGGGCTTACCTCTGGGTGCCTGTATCAGAGCTCTTTGGTTGCAAGCAACAAATAGGAAAGCCATTCTGGCCAATTTAAGGGGAAAACAGATGTGTTGGAATACGGGGGTAGATCCCAGAAC